GGGGGTCAGCTAGAAAAGGAGCTGTAAGAAAAGAATGACCTTGACCTTGATGGTTTCCAGAAGAATGGATGGAATTCCTACTGTTTTAAAAAAATCAGATCTCGAGCATTCTTTTCTCCGTCTACTAATTGCCCTCACCTACATGTACAGTGGAAATTATAGTCTAAGACGGCCACTCATTGTTGAGGAGAAAAGTTGCCATCTTAGTCAAGCTGATGTCTTGCACTGTTTCATTATAATGTTACATTTTTAAAAAAATGCAAGTGGGGGGGGGACTGGCTGTTCGTACAGGGGATTGTATTGTACAGGTAGCTAGAGCAGGCTCATCTGTATTAACAACTTTGTTCATCTCTGTTAAGATGAAATGTGGGTGGTTTGCAGGTGCTCTGGTGTGGTTTGCTGCTCTTTTCCTGTCAAACAACTGTCGTCTTTATCTCTCCTCCTTTTTTATGTTTGTTACTCTCTTGTAACAAATCTAATCTTCGGCACTTATATGACCCTATTGCGTTGCAAGAGCCGTAATACTCTTACTTTAAAAAAAGAAGAAGAGGAAATTTAAATATTTAACAAGCATCTGTGATGTAATTGTGAGGCTCTTCTGTATTGCATGAAAGAGATGTAAGTGCAGTTTGTCATTGGCAAAATTATTGTCTTTTTTTAGCAAGAGCTATACCAAATGCCCAAAAATTTACTAGTGCCAATTCCATAGTGTCGTGACTCATATGTGAGGCAACGAGATGAAATCAGGCACTCATCAAAATAATGAAATCCGAGAAATCAGCATTTTATCGGCCAGTTTGTAAATTTTTTTTAGGATTTTTGTTTTTTGGCTCAACACCTTGTATGTCCATTCAAAAACACTTTTATGAGTGGATTTTATGGAAAAACAAAAAAATGTAAATTTGCAGTTTCCAAGGACTCTTAAGCTATGGAAGTCACCAAACTTTGATGGCCATTTTCTCACTAATTTTACTTCTGAAACCAGACGACCCCACCTCCTTCAATCACAAATATCTCAACTTCTATTGAAGGTAAAGGGATATTTTTTTTCATTGAAAGCAAGGCAAATGGACAACCTTTAAGATGATACCTATAATTCCATACACCTCGAACTGGCAACATGCCCTTGATTCCAGCATGTCGTGACACTTATTATTATTGTCTTTTCCTTGTCCTCAGCTGGCAGGTCCTCTTTTACACAGCCTCATTTGTCTGGGGAATGTACGCACTGTGGGATGTAAGTGACTTTACATTTTAGCTATGTTCTTTTCATTGTGTAGATCCGTTCATGAACAGTCCATCAGTCCTTGGAGGTTTTTTTTTTGTTGTTGTTTAAATTTATGCTGTACTAGATCTAGGTAAAATTGTTCTATGACTGTTACTGAGAGGGAATTTGTAATTTTCTGCTGTGCTTACAATTTGAAGTGTGACTATTTTTCTTGTTACGCTTTAGTACTGTCCTTTGTAATAATTCATAGATTTTTGAAATTATGAATTTTTTTTTTTTTTTGGGTATTACCTCTGAATGTTAGTAATTTTCTTTCACTTGTGTCTTAATTGGATTGTTAGTGTTTCCAGTTTGTGTTTATGGGAATATCCGGTTTATCCAGTCTTTTTGAGATGATAAATCACACGGGGATGTTTTTTTGCTGGAAGCAGCAATGTAGAACTGTTGCATGAGGACATAAGTGTATGTTATTGTTGTTTCTGGTTTCCCCCCTGAAATGGTCTTTTTTCTTGGTTTTTAATTTCTCCTCCTTTTCTTTGTGTGTTACCCCCAAGTTACATTTCTAATTTTTTGCTCTTTGGTGACCTATTTGTGTTGCAAGAGCTGTAAAACTTTTACTTAATTTGAGAAAAATGGAGACTGAGTGTGCGTCTTATAGAAGTGTTGGTTTGTTTGTTCTTGCCTCACAGAAACCTTGGTTGTGGGTGACAGTCAATTGCTGGGTTGGCTGGCCTAAGCAGGTAAGTGTGCACCCTTTAAACTCACCTGAAAAAGTCAGTGGGTGGTTGGCGTATGCTCTGGTGTGGTTTGCTCCTCTTTTCCTATCAAACATCCGTCGTTGTCATCTCTCTTCCTTTTTGTTGTATGTTACTGTCTTGTTAAAACCTTCAATCTTTGACAATTATATGACCTAATTGTGTTGCAAGTGCTGCAAAACTCTTACTAAAACGAAAAGAAATAAATAATATAAGTCTTCTTGACACTGTCAGGTCTTACTGCTGTAGGTGGGTGTGGTCCGCGAATCGCGGCCGCGATTTTAGCATTTTTCAAGAAAGACAAAACAACGAAGCTACTTCATAACATATTAGATATGTATTTTGATAAGTTTTAAGATGTCCATGTGTATCTATTTTCATGCGGAGAATATAAGTACTTTACATTACATAATTTACATGTAATAATATCCTGTAGTCCTACTTTTTTAAAAATTACACACGTTTGGGGTTAAAACAGCCTATCTTCGGATAGGTGGACAGGAGCCCTAATTAAATTTGTTAATTTTTGTGTTCCGGGCTATTCAAACTTTGATTTCATTCTGTTGTGAAACCTTTATTTTTCACTTTTTTACACTCTGGATGATTACAAATGATATTCTGGATGCTTAAAACTGAGCACAAGAAATTCTGGTGCTTTAGATTGTTACATCTATTAACATATTGCTATATACGTCGTCACAGAGAGTTGAAAGCTTGAAAATTTATGGCAACTTTTTTGGCAACTTTTGTCACTTTTTGTGGCAACTTTTGGACAAAAAAATGGGAACAAACGCAGATGCAAGTTTGATGGCTTAACTGATCCAAAGCTAAGGATAACAGGTCTTGCTTGATGGGCCCCTGCCCACACATGCTAGACAAGTATTTTCGTATACTGTCACTTTAACTTTAAAGAAAAATAACTCTTTTTGAGTCCAAACCAAGTTTAAACCAAGTATCTAGACCAGGTATGGGCAAACTATGGCCTCCAAGCATTTTTCAGGCTGGCCGGTGAGTAAGCCCAATAATTAATAATGAATGTAATGTGGCCTGTGGTGAGTTCACAATTGATAAAAACAAAAAAAAAAGAATAAAAGCAATGTTTTCTGGCCCAGCTAAAAAGTGTAGATCTAATATTTTATGTCACGAAATGCCCACGGTTCTAATTTGGCTCCAGTATCGTGAGTGACGTATACTGTATTGTCAGTTTTTAGTCTCGCTTTTAAGAACTTGGATATTTCTATTCATTTTACCTAATTTTCTCCTACTTTGGCTTGTGAGATATTTGAATTCCTCAGTCTTGCAAGTTGAACACGGTCGCCCATGCCTTATATAGATCCAGGCGTTATGTTTCCTGTTCAAGGAAACATAATTTTTACGGAATAGCTTTTGGCTGGCAATCTTTAATTTTTGAAATTGTATTATTTGCTGTTGAAATATCTCAACAGTGTGCGACTCCTGAAAGGTGTGTAAATGGTTAAATGATGGATTCTATCCTTGATACTGAAATAGAGATGCTGATTTTAGAGATACAGTTACTGTTATTCATGATGAAGAAATAGACGGTGAACAGGAACGGGACAAAACTATATCTACACAATCGCCACTTGATGATTATGAAAGGGCACACACCTTTTGATCTTCCATTTACTGATGGTAATGGCATTCAGATTTATATCACCAATATAAACACTGAGTCTGATTTACATTTTTTGACAATTTGTTTATCAATAAGTTAAAAAAGAAACAAACAAAAAACAGCATAAAGATGAGCTGAAAAGTTTTTGTTTTATGATTATTATCCCGAGTCCCCAGTTAATCCATCAGTTAAATGTCACTTCAACAAAACTGCTTACAAAGGAAGAGGAGTTCATGACTGCAGTGCTGAGCACTGAATAGGTTACAAAAATGTGGGTCTAAGCATTCCTTGACGTGACTAAATATACTGTACACTCAAAGTGAAACCCTTTTCCTATAGTTTCTGATAATTTAGGAATCATTTATCTGGGTTTGTACTCCCTTAAATTTAACAATGATCATAATACTAATGATAGGTAGCATTTATATAGCTCATACTAGTATAAGCTCTGAGGGCTTTACATCAATGACATGATCACTGAGAGTGAAACCTCAGAAACACAAGAAATACCTCTCGGGGCGGTGCTACTGACTAAAGGGTCTTTAGGCCATTCCCAAATGGGGGACATTAACATGTTCTTATGCACACAAGAATTGTAAATGGGCTGATTCATCAATGTCATGCTCATAATTGTGCCTGTACTACAACAGGGACCTGCTGCTTTTTCTTTCCTAATCCTTACTATTGTCACTTTTCTTCTACTTCTTTTGTATGTTTGTCACACTCTTGTGACCCTCTATTTTGGGGTGCCTTGGTAGTCGAAGGAGACTTTGTGCTGTTTAAGCTGGATAGGTGAGCAGAGTAAGCCTGATTCCCTGTGAGGACTTCTCTGCTTACATCCATTCCTTGGCGCTAATATCGAGGGCCACTAAGTAAACTATGGTAAGTCATGTTTTTCAAATTTTATAGGAGAGACAAAATATGAATGTTCTTGAAGCGTTTTGGGTGTATAAACTTCATTTTCATAAGGGAGCCTAATGTCTGTCATGGCATTTGTAGGTTCCCTTATGAAAATGAAGTTTATCTACCCGAAACGCTTCAAGAAAATCCATGTTTTTTTTGTCTCTCCTGTAAAATTTGAAAAACATGACTTACCATAGTTTATTTGACGACCTTCGATATGACCTTATACAGTTGCGAGCTCTGTAAAATCTTTACTAAAACTAAGAAAACACTAGAAAAACATTTGATCGATATAAACAAGAAAACCAGTTCAACACATATGCGGAAGAACTTTTTCAGCCTCGCATTTCAAGTTTGCCTCTCAATAGGTAGCCAATTCTTTAATTTGTTCAAATGTGATGCTGCTGTGTATGTGTGGAAGTTACAAATGATTTTATCTACACTCATGTGCAGGAAGTTTGATGTCCAGTGGAGTCTGAATTTTTTTTTTTCTTTTTTACTTTCTAGAATATTTAAATTACTCATAGCAATGAGTCTGGTTTGGGGTCAATTGCTCTGCCTGTGAAATGGCCCCCACCTGTGTTTAGTAGGGTGTCAGGAAACAAAGGCACTCTACTGTTACTTTGTTTTTTGGATCCAGCATTTTTCTCTGAGTTGGAGCGGTCCGTCATGTGGATATGGCAAAGAATTTACATGTTTAACAACATAAGCAAAGGCCAGTTTAATTTTTGCTCTCTTGGCACCTTGATAATTACATGATTTCGCTTCTCTCTCTCTCTCTCTCTCTCTCTCTCTCTCTCTCTCTCTCTCTCTCTCTCTCTCTCTCTCTCAGAACATATTGTTTGATAATGACATTTTCACCTTGTCTACCTCCTTCTCACAGCATATAGATAATGACATCTTCATCTTGTATCTGCTTGAGCTGAGCTTCTACTGGAGCCTATTGTTCGCCGTGCTCTTTAGACAAGACTACAAGAAAAAAGTAAGTAAGCCACACAAATATGGAATCAGGTTCTAGGATACTTTGACAACCACCTGGTTTTGCATGTTTTGCTTTTTTTGATGACTGTATGTGTGTGTGCGTGTGCCTGTGACGCGCATACTCAGAATATTCTGAACAACAGATGTGTATGTATCTGTGCCTGTTTGTGTGTTCTCATAAACATATGTGCTGACATCTGTATGTGTGGGTGGTAGGCTGGTGCTCTGATCGCGTTTTCTCCTTCTTTCCTATCACAAATGTCTATTGTCCTTATCTCTCCTCCTTCTTTTCTTTTTTTGTTACTCTCTCCTAAGGCTTGATTATGTTGTAAGTGCCGTAGAACTGTTATTAAAAATACACATGCTAACATCTGTTTGTGTGTGCGTCCCCAGGACAAAAATGAGATGGTCCTGCACCATGTAGTGACCATCCTACTGCTGTATTTCTCCTGGGCGGTCAACATGGTCCGTGTGGGTTCCCTGGTCGTTGTGGTGCATGATGTAGCTGACCCATGGCTCAATGTGAGTGTTTGAATTTTTACTTTGTATTTGAAGTTGCTTCAATCATTTTGACCTGCAAGGTAAAACCAAGCTGCGCTATGAACTAATGTGAAAACAACCAACTTATATGTCCTGCATGCTCAAATGACTTAATGCAGTTGCAAGTGCAGTGAGAAACTTGAATTATGAGTACTGGATGTAACATTGTTTTAAAACAGTAGCTCGTTGGTCAAGTGGACCTGATATGCATGATCAGATCAGATTGGGTCGAGTTGAGAAATAGTTCAGGCCTTTACACACTGCATCAAATAGACCTCTGCTCTGCTTCATCAAATTTGATTCAGAAATCCATTTGGACCAATCACATTCCATGCTCAAAGAAAAGACCTAAACCTGCAATGCCATTTGACAGGTGGTTGCCTTACTTCTAATTTTACGACTTTTTTTTTCAAATGTACAAGATTGTGACTCCGAAAATCAAAGATGATAGATTTTAGAGGATTTGATCATAATGTGTCAAAATGGGAGCTTTTGCTGCCCCTCCATAAAGGAAAATCTGGCTTCATACCGTTATGTTTATCAAACCGTATTAAACAGGCATTTGATGAGGGCTCCGTTAGCCCTGTCTTGAATCTCAAACTGGGCGTTCTTGAACTCGAGTCATTGTGTGGAGTTTTCAAGGCTGTCAACCCATTTGGCTCGTTCTTATCAGAAACGGACGATAAATTCAGAGGTCCTGCTTCATAAATAACCTAATAGTGTTGATTGTGACATTAAAATGTTCTGCATTATGATGCATTGGGAACTAATTTGCTGCAGAGCTGTTGCTATAACTAGGAGCACCAGTTTTTCAGGAAATTTTTATATTTGGGTTTTTGAACAAATGTGACCTACTGGGTGGTGTGGGGACATGATGGAGCCTTTTTAATTCAGATCCATTATTATAGACAGTGAGCTCTATGTTTTAATTGCATGACTGTCTCCTGACTATTGATTTGCCTTTTCTGGGGAATTCTATTACATCTTGTTCTTTTATAATTTGTTTGCAGCAAAGATGGTGTTAAACTGTATGGCACTAAAAAACGGAAGCGGTGGAGAATTGCAACGATAAATAAACCGTTTCTTTAGGGACTATTGTTGAAGGGTGCGGTGATAATAGCAAAAACTGTTTCAACATTCTGAATGTTCCGACATTAATTGTCTGCATTTATCCTTATATAATGTCAAATTTTAAATTTGTTTTTCGTCCTTTATAAGCTGAGAAAGTCACTGTCAATAACTACCTGACTGTTCCTCTATATGACCTCAGAATATTACACCACATTTGTCTCTGGGCATTCAGAAAATAAACAGGAATGGTTTTATTGTGGAGAATGTAGGTACATTTGTCATCAGTCTTCTTGAATATAAAGAGAGATCATTTGAAGCTAATGTTTTGATCAGCTTTCATTGCAACTTGGAAAACCTTCCTGTGTTTTCCTTATCATAAAAGTTTGTCCATCATAAACTGATGATGATCTTTAACATCCAAGGAGGAAGAAAAAGTTGCAATAGACTTTGGTAGCTATCATGATAAAGAGAAAAAGGGAAGGGAAAAAATAGTGAGCAGCTTGTAATGATCACAAACACCATAACTTGCCAAAGTAGCACCTTTTCCTTTTCAAAACTGGTCTGTATATCTGCCCAAATATACGGATAGTTGGTTAAACCTTCTTCTGGCCTCCTTTGTGACCTTCAAGCATAGTTAAAACATTTTTTTTTAAATGTCCACAAACAGAGCACTTGTGGTCTGTTGAGCCAATGTCAGTGTCAAAGTTTGACTATGTTTATTCTCTTGCTTCTTTGGCTGCCTCTGCTTTACAAACTCTGTTTTTCTCAAAAAACCAAATGCTGCCACGTCATGTCAAGGCTCTACACCATTGTGATCAGTCAAGACATAAACAGGGTTTCCACTCTTCCACATCAGTAGAGCAGTCTTTAAGAGAAGCCTTCTGAATTTCTATATCTTTTTTTTTTTGTGGGGGGGGGGGGGGGCACCAATGTTCCGCCTTCCTCATACAAATTTTCCCAGTACACTGTTTACATACATTAAGACTAATCAGTCAAATGCTGATTAAAAATGTTTATGTGGCAATACTCTTTTTCCTTTTAAAAGTTAATAAAATTGAAGTGTTATTTAGTTTATTGCAGTTTTGATTTTTGTCAACTTTTTAAATAAAGGCTTTGAACTTCTTTTCAGCTGACTTCTAACTTGCCGTCAGTGTATTTTCAAAGAATTACATTTCACAAACATGACGTTAAATCCTAAAAAGCCTTGAAAATTATAGTTGATCATCTGTCCCTTGGCTCATATGTGCTTTGCTGAATACAAACTACTCTGAAAATGATTTGTTATAACCTGTAGTGTTATTTTTATGTTTTTTAAGCAGCCATATAATTCATTATCTTTTTTTATTTTGCGTACATTTCATTTTTGCACTTTTTTATTACAGATTGCCAAGATGGCAAAATACGCCAAATATCAGACAACATGTGAAATCTTCTTTGGCATTTTCATCTTAATATGGATAATATCTCGGATATTTGTTTATCCTTTATGGTAAGTAAATTTTATTGTAAGCAAATTTTGTAATCTAAGTCTCAACCAAGTCCCAGAACAGGTAGAACGTATCCTTCAAGATTTCTGTTTCTTCCCTCATTTCTGACCGTTGTCATTATTTTTTTCTGCTCTTCAAGACCAGTCTTCTTAACGTGTCTTTCAATATTACAACCTTTTTGGTGACATAGCTTGTGCTTCTAGCTTTGTTGCCCACAAGTGCCTCATAAAGGACACTGTACGAGACTCCACGCCCATTGTCTGGTAATTTATGGAGGATTTTAGTTGTTTATGGTTATGTCTGTCCCTGGAAAGCTGACACTTTTATTATGTCAAAACAGGATGTTAACCCTCATAGCACCAGGCTATTTTTAGCCCTCTCTTCACTCTGGCCTGGGTAATACTGAAGTCTTTGACTCCATTCAGACCCAACCAATACTGATTGCGTTTGCATTTTTTTGCAGACATTAAAATAAAATGTGTTCTATACTGTTGTTTCTCTGTATAGTTTTAGAAAATAACATGTAGAATATTTTTTAGCTACACGGTGATACCCCCGGGGGGGGTACCACTGATTGAAGTGTCTTTAAGCCATTCCCAAAGGGGGGACATTTCTCGTTCATGCACGGTAGAATTGTTAATAGGCTGATTCATCAATGTCACGCTCATTACTGTGTCTGATCTACAACAGGGAACTGCTGCTTTTTCTTTCCTAATCCTTACTATTGTCATTTCTCCTCTACTTCTTTTGTATGTTTGTCACACGCTTGTGACCCGCTATTTCCGGGGTGCCTTAATAGTTGAAGCAGACTTTGTGCTGTTGAAGCTAGAGAGGTGAGCAAAGTAAGTCTGATTCCCTGTAAGGACTTTTCTGTTGATATCCACCCCTTGGTGCTTATATAACCTTATGCAGTTGCAAGCGCCAAAAAACCTCTACTAAAACTAAACTGTTGGTGAGATTATAGTTTTAGTACCTGGCTGGGTTTGAGATGGTTGGTGTCCTGTGAGGGAAATATACACAACTGGGGTTGTGGGGGAATGAGAACTCGTGAGGAAAATGTATGTGACTGGGGCTGTAATGGTTAACATTTTTGCTATGAATAGAAAAAAGTTGCTTGATTTTTAAGAACAACTCTATTTGTAAATCGTACAGAGATACTAATTTTTAGGGGCTCTCGTGGTCTAGAGTGTAATGTGTTTGCCTCTCGTTCAATAGGTCCCTTGTTCAAATCCAGATAGCCACTTGAATTTTCTCCTTTCACAGCCTTTCCTGCTCTCTAACAATGTTCTGTCGTCTGCTTTCGTCTCCATTTTCTGCCCCCACCTCCTCACCTCCTTTGTCCCTCCCTCCTTTAGGCTCCTGGCTCTTTCTGAAGCTTTTCTACTGCTACTTCTTGGCTCTTTTTTACTGCTGCCTTTCAGCCCCATTCCTGATTTTATGGTAGGTAAGATTTCACACTAGCCTTTTCGGATAAGGGTGAAAAATCTCGGAGATTGCATGTGCAAGTTGTGCTTGTTAAAGGTCCCTTGATGGTCCAAAATTAACAACAGTAGGCTTCGGCCACCACCCACTCAAAATCCAAACTCATAATGTTTAATGTGTCCCGTGCGCTCATATGATCTTATGCAATTGCGAGTGCCGTAAAACACTTACCCCCCCGTCCCAAAAAAGGAACAACTAAAAACATTTATGTTGCCACATTGACCGTATTCATGCCATAATTTAGATCTGTAATTCATTTGAATATTTAACTGAGGTATGCATGTTTTATGTCAGGCACGGCGTCACTTTTCGCCCGATTCTGTTACTTTTAGTTCGCGTGACTCAGCAGCCCGCCGGAGCTCCCCGGCTCGGGGTCACGGGGTTAATGAGCCCTGAGGCGACTTTGCCGGTGTCGGTCGGGAAGTTCGCATTTTTGACTATGTTTAAAACGATATAACTTCTTCCCCATCCCACACAGCAAACCATTACGCGGATGTACTAAAAGCTCAATGTCTTGAGATTTATTCTGCGTTAGAATGGTTAGTTTCTGTGCCTTAGTTTTTGTTCTAGACAAGTGTTTGTAGAGTACCCAATTTGTCCTATTTTAGTTACAAAGTTATGAATAAATGATTGTTATTTTAAAAAAGGCACGACAGATCTCTCCAAATTCTGTGTTAAACTGACTACGAATATCATGTCTTTTACCATGAGAAATCTTAAATCTGCGGTAGTAGTAATAGTCAAGTTATAAGAGAAGAAAGATGCACATCTGCATATTTTAACTAAAGACGATCAGCGTTAGCTCTTATTTTACTATTAAACAAGAGAAAGTTACTCTGCGTTTGTTCATGAATCATGCTGTGTCTGTGGCAGCCTGCATACAACTAAAAAGATATAATATAAGCGATTTAAAAAACCACAAAACCGTGTAAATACATGGGTAGAGATAAACTTCTAGTATGGAATAAAAATAATGACAGCTAAAACTTTCATTCTTAGTTTTTGTGTAGGAAATATGCGCGGACACAATTATGAATGTAAAGAAATCAGTCACATTGCCAGTTATTGCAAATGGTCATAGAAACGTAAAAAAAGCTGGAAAAGTCTAGTGCTGATTCAGTGTCCCTGGAAAGCTAGAAATTATTCTTATAACCCAATTACGAGAAGTCATCCTTATTATTCAGTCAACTTACAAAACCTAGACTTAGCGTTTTAAGAAAAGTAAGTAATTTCTGGAGTGTAACAGATACTGTTCGTGTATTAGATCTACGTTGAAGATATATTCTAGCACTAAAATCGATTTGTACTTTTCATTGAGAAACTTCATGATAACTTTTATAAACTTTCGAGAAAATATGCGAATATTCATGATTATATTAGACACATAAAGTTGTATTTGGAGGAATTACTTCGTAGCGAATTGTGTGCCCGATGGATAAAATTGCAAAATTACAGCCTTCTATTATAAGCGCAGACCATCTTTTCTGAGTATCTGCACTAATGTTATGTCGTTCATATTCCAAAAGTTCGACAGATTTTGACGATGCGTTTTTTTTATATTGATTTTTTTTCATTCACGCTAGTCCCAAAAAATTACAATTTAGCATTGCCGACTCCAGCGCGTCTAACGAAATAACCAGACAAGTTACAACGTCCATTCTTTTTTGAGTCTCAAGAGCAGAAATGCGTTCTTTGGGTGCACTAAATGAGAATTATCATAAATACAAGGATACACCTTAAATTGTACGTTGAAAAGTACCGAAAATTAAGTCGGCCCAGACAGAGCGGCGACAGGGAGCTGACCCGCGTGACCCCGATGTGATAAGGCGCCCGGCGGGGAACCCCCCGTGGCAACTAAAATTCCACTGCCGGTGCGCCGTGCAGGAACTTTGCAAAGCACAAAGCAAAGAAAAAAACACGTTTGAAAGGAAGTATATATTTGTCTTGACGCTGTTTCAGCGGGACAATATTACATATACAAGAAGTGATAGCTCTACTTATTTCTAAATTGAAAAACAATGATTTAAACCATTTATGGAAATTCACATCACCATTAAAAAAGTGAAGGCAAACGAGGCAGGGAAGACCCAGAGCAACCTACTTGGACAGCCTTAAAACAGATGGGTAATGGTGGAAAGATCAGGATAGCGCAGCTTTTTTTTTTAGATCATCTGAGCAAAGAAATATATGGAGAACCATGTTTGTGTATGTCTCTCACAGGTCTGGCATTTTGATGATGATGACGCCATCATATAATGCTATTCTTCTCTTGTAGATGCAAGTACTGACTTTCTTTTTCTTCCTCGTTCTCGACAAACACTGACTGTCTTACTGTTCCCGTGTATTAAATGACATTACTTTTCTGATTTGCTTTACCATAGACCTAGAAGTAGACTGGATTTAATTCAAACAGTTGTTCATTGTGATTCAGTGACGTGTAATATTGTTTGTAAGAGTTATCGCCCATTTCTTTCACAACTATCATTTGTCTCGCCTGTTGTATTCTCACAGGGTGCTGAATGCATCTGCTGTTGAAATCCATGATTATGTGACCACGTTCCCTGCGTACTGGTTCTTCAATGGACTGCTGTTTGTGCTGCAAATGCTGCACATCCTGTGGACCTACCTGATCCTCAGCATTGCCTTCCAGAAGTTCACGCTGGGCACTGTAAGTACCTTGTGTCCCTTTTCCGTTGTGCCAGATTGGCCCTCTACACTGTTGTGGCAGGTTCTCTTACTTGTGTGTGGTGGATCAGTTTGTCGGTATAATTGCAGCAGAATTTGATTATGTTCAAGAAGTTGGGATTGCAGAAATTATTAACATTAATGTGTACTATTGATCAAGTAGTATTTTTTTTCTTCATTTGTTAAAGATTTTATTGCAAGTCGTTCTCTTTTTTAGATGATGCCGATGCAAGACTTATTTGATGAAAATATGTCACTCCTATGAACGTTTCCCCTTACCATTTTGTGACTGCAGATTGAGAAAGATTTTCATAATTGTAAATGTTAAATGCCCCTGTCAAAACAATTTAGATAATTTGAGAGTTGGGCTGCTCTGACCCTGCCTGTCAGGGCCAATGTGAATTAAGAGATGCAGTGTCCCTGGGGGGCAGGGAGAGAAAGTGTGGAGAACCCATACCTTTGCTAAGGCCAGCAGATTGAAGACATGTCGCCATGTGTACCACTTCCCCTTGCCTTTCTGTAATCGCACATTAAAAATGTATTACCTTTTGTACACGTCTCCATACCGTTTTGTGATTTCAGATTGAAAAAGATATTCGCAGTGAATCAGATGGTGAGATCAGCGACTCCCCAGTTGAGGAGGCAGCACCTGTCATTGGAGAGAAGTCAGCATCTGGGGTCAACGGCATCAGGCAGGGCACAGCAGCGGCTCACAAGAGACTCTGAGAGGCTGGGGGTCAAGGGTGGTTATGTCATGCCGGTGGTCTGTCTGACGTCGTTTGTGTACAAATGTCACTGTAATCAGGGGCGTGAGATGTAGTCAGAATTGAGGGCTCTATGGAAAGGACATGCAGAGTCGCATTTTAAACTTTTCTTAGTTATTTCTTCCTCTCTGAGTATTGTTAAGAAACTTTGTTTAAAAGAAATTTTTATCTTTAGTAGCATAAGTATAATACATTTCTTTGAGTGGAGAGACTGTCCATGTTCTAAAAATGTCAAACCTGAATTTTTTGGGGTTATTTTATTGTGACTTGGTCTGTTCTTTCTGTGGAGTCTTAGAATGTTTCCCTCAGACTTGCCTTGGGCATTGATAGTAGTGCTTCTCAGATGCGTGTCGAAAAAATTTGTACATGATCATTTTTATTTTTAAACAGCCCTCCCCTTCCCTTCCTCCCATCCAAGGAGCTATGCTTATCTTTGAATGTCATTGGTTTGATGGTGGTAGGTCCAAGCTTGCCTGAGCACACTGCAGTGAACTATACTTATGGAATAGTGGTCAGTGTGTGTGTATGTGTGTGTTTGCCAATATCATTGTTGCATTTTTTTTAGTGTGAAAACCAGCATAAACGTTTATGTTTGTATTGAGTCAAACAATTCTTTCAGCTGTTTATGAAGGCTTTTTGTTTTGAGCGCAAGTAATTAAGAGTATAAAGAATGGCGAAGCTGCTTCAGCAGAATATACTTTTGAGTTCGCAATCTTTGTAGAAATTGTTCAGTCATAAGGTAATAAAATTTCGGCCAGCTGTTAAATTGTAATAAACCTAAAATTTTGAAAAGAGAAGTTTATTTCAATTTCTTAATCTGTGGTATCGGTTGCATGTGCTCCAAAACAAATTTCAAATTTTTAAAAATAAAAAAAAAAAGCTATAAAAAATACATAATTTAGCTACAATTGTTTAAAAAATAATTAAACATTATTTGTATCCCTCCTTTCTGGGCTTAGTACAATTTAACAACTGCACAACAAAAGAATTAGTCTTGTCCAGATCTGCTGTGAGTCACTTTTGCCACAAATTTCCTGATCCTCAGATGTGGCAGCGTGGACGCTTTTTTTCTATAATGCTGCACTGTTGCTTTGTTCCTTATCTGTATGGAGTGGCAGCAAGGGCTGTACACGATTCCATTGACTATTGTTCATCCCCCTACTTGATGCGCAATGGCTTTCGTGTGGTTCTACCCGTAAATCGTGAGGTCAGATTGTACAAGTTTGTGTCAGTACTTCAAGCAACACCTTCATCCCACCTGAGGAACACTATGCTCTGAGTGGAAAAACCAGCCACCTTCAGTTTGTGTGTAAAATGGACTGTTTTGTGGCATAATGATACAGAAGTCGATGTCCTTTGAGCTGGGTGTGTGGTCCTCTGTTGTGGTTTGCTCCTTTTTTTCCTTTCAAACATCTTTCATCCTTATCTATCTCTCCTCCTACTTGGTATGTTATTCTTAAGTAACACTTCTTATCTTCAGCTTTTATATTATGACCTAATTGTGTTGCAAATTCTGTAAAACTTCACAAAACTAAACTAAACTAACCTGGAGAAAGGCGCAAGACACTTGCTGTTCTTTTACTCTCAGCAGACGGGTGATGTCCCAGTCTTTTCTGTCCCCCTTCATGTGATCCAGTTTTTGCCTTGCACGGAGAGATCATTCTGCTGTGACACTGTCACAGTCTTTCACATGTTCTATTTTGTTCTAATTTCTCAATTTCTGATGAGATCAGAAGGGTGTGTTTGGTGAGGAAAACTTACTGTCAACTCATAGGCATGTCCTTTGAATTATTTTCGTGGTCTTTATTTTTTTCTCCGTGCAGACTGTTTTCCTACAGCAGTGTTAGCAGTGTCTTAGTTGGGGGTAAGAGGATGCCACTGATCTTTTCTTTCCCTCTCTGCACTATACGTCTATTAATGTGTCGATGTGCTTCTCTTTACTCAAACGCAATGTCTTACCGTTGCGGCCACTGCCAGACTGCGATTTGTCTGACAATGTGTTGCTCTGGAACTCCCTGAGTTCCTGCAGTTTTAAGCCTCGGCCTTTTCCTTAGACAGTTCAGGCTGAACATTACTGAGTATTCTCCTAGGTATCTGTCTGAAACCTTGTTTTTTTTCAAAAGATGGAAGTCTCAAGTCTCATGCCCCTCTTAGTTCTTCTTATTTGACATTGTGCTTAAGCACAAATCCAAACGTAAGCGTTGGGGAAAGGTGTGGCTCTAATCATGTGTTCATTCCAGCTCGTTCATGATCAGTTTATTTCTTGATGCATAACCACTTTCAGGTTCCCTATGGGATTTTTTGCTCAGTTTCTATTTGTATGTATAGTTTAAAAGTGTTCGGTCTTTTACAGTTCCTTATCGTTTTCCTGTTATGAATGACTTACTTTGCCTTACGTATACAGTATGTTTCTGCTGTTTTCCCATGTACAAAGCATTTTGTGGTGATATGTACTCGTGTGTGCGTGTTTGTATGTGCGCTTGTTATGTGTAAATTTAATGTTTTATATCTGAAGAAGCCACATGTTCAAAATGCTGTTTCTGTTATCGTATGTCAGCAATTACAATCTGGATTATTATGTTTATTCAGTGCTGCTTATTCCTACTGGGTCAATAATATGTCCATGTTTTTTCTTGGTGGATTAATGTTATGTTCACAAGTCACATCCATGGCTCAGCAGTAAATCACACTCTATCGCAGCTGCTTGCAGCGGCTTAGCTTTTACATGACTGTCTGTTTCTCAAGTAGGAAAAAGTTTGAAGAAAAAGTCTTTCACTGACTTTGGCCCTTCTCAATATTGTTCAAGTGTGAGCTCCAGGAGATTTTTCAGCATGTTATCACAGTCAGGGCACTACACAATTACCCAAGGAATTTTATGTTCTTTTGAGAAAACTTAAAAAAAAAGACTTTTATGATGTGAAAGTGCAGTTGAGAAAATTTAAGAAATGTGGGAAAAAATTTATATTCCAATCTCTGTTCTCTTGTGAAAGTGAGATTGGACGCTTTTTTCTAGTAAGCATCCATTTGAAAAGCGAAATGGATAGAGAGGTTTGAGATTTGGTAAGTGAGAACAGACACGAAGATGATGTGATGAATGGGTTAGAGGTGTAACCCACAGGCTGGTGTGCTGGAGTGTTGTTTTTGTTTGTTGGCGTGTTTATTCTTGATGTTTTTTTTGTTTTTTTGTAGGATAAGATGTGGAGGTTTTCTTGCATATTTCAGAGATTCATTTGTGTTATTTTCCTGTTCTAATTTATGTTTTTATATCCTGTCATGCTTTGCTCCTGTTGACCACAGCTTCATGACAACAATTTTTTATCCTGTGACCCCCCTCTTCCCCCATCTCCCTTTGCCCAAACCCTCCCTTCTAGTCCTCTCTCCTTCATCCACCCATCAGTCCCCTCTTTTATTTCCCCTCAGTCCCGCCCTCGTTCAATTCCCTCTTTGAATAAACAATGATGCCCTCTGGACTGGTCCCCAGCCCCTTCTTGTAGTCCCCTTTCACTCACCACTTTTTCTACCCCTTTATTTTGTTGTAATGTTTGCCTTAACCCCGCCCCTGTGCCCATGTGAGCAACAGGTGAGAAGTTCACAAGCTCTGCCTGTGCTGCATCCTGAACTGAATCACACTGTCAACATTTGGTCTTTTCTTTGCGAGAGGACGTTTTTATTGAGCACATGGTCGTCTTTTACCATCAAGTTCCTTCATTTGTCATACACACACTGTATGGTAGATATTCTCAGTATTTTAGAAAAGGAAAACTACCACTTTCATTGGTCCTGAGATGGATGTTTTGATTATAATGGCTAGTACAATCCATACCATTAACATTGTGAGGCTTACTCATTGCTCCATGTTTATAATATAATATAATAATGTCTGGATAGAGACGGTATGGATACTCCAGTGACCATCCACCTAAATGCCGTCATTGACATTGTTTAACATCATTTACAAGCCTGAGCTCATAATCCACATGACCACATGAGTCTACTGGTGGGAACTCTGTTCACTTTTAAAATAATATTATGATGATTTATCAACTAAAAATGAAGACAGTTTCAAAGATTCAGATATGCTGTGGGAATGTATATCCAGTTGAATTGTGTTTGGATAAAGCGTAAGCTGTCCTATGCATTCTCTTCAGCTATTTTTTGTTCTTTACCACAATTTTTCCCGTCATCATGTTGCTGGACAGCTCTTTGAAAAAATAATGTTTTATGAAAGCAAATCTATTGTTAAAGCTTAATTTGTATGCTCAGAGGTGGTGGATGGACCCAGTAAGTAAGTGTAGTTGCTATTGTTAAAGATTCTTATGCGTGGCTGGATTTCGCTCGGAAAGGAGTGTTGATATGTTGTAATAATGTGAATGTCTTCTTTTGTCTTTATTTTTTAAAACTCTCTCTTTGAAAGTTTTACATGCAGTTAGTTGTAATTGTCTTTTTTAAAGGCCATTTTGCTGTATGTAGGAGGTTTAGCGAAGGCATTTCTGCCCTCATACTGTCTGCTCAGTATTGCTGCTGAGTATAGCCAAGTTCCCTTCTCCGTTTTGTTCCCTAGTTTGCAGAAGTAAGATACCGCTTGGTGATTTGTTGTCCTTTGTAGATGATTTTTTGTATGTTTCTATATTGTCAGTGGATGCTTGGGTTTGGTGTACTTTAGTGTTCAAGTGATGCTGACAGTTTTGAGCACAGAAGGCCCTTCTCTTTGCGCTGACCAGGATTATTACTGTACCGTTTTTTTGTTGCTATAGGCCATAACTCGATCTATTCCATTCACCTCTTTTGCCCAATTTTCCTGTCTTTCCATGAAGCAGAACTTGGGAGAAATGCTGTATATGTGTTTGCTCACATGTATGTGTGTTTCCTGATCCAGTTTCTCCTTGTTCAGGTGATCAGTAGCTGGCTTTACAGCTTAGACATTTGTTTGCTTTCTGTGGGGAAAAGAAAATGTTCACCTTTTATTTTTATTTTTATTTTTATTTTTAAATTTTTTTTTTTTTTTCGTGGAGAAGTAGACTGACTTTGGCAGCCTTTTGTATCATGATGTGTGTTATTCTGTGCTCTCTCGGTGGCAACTTGTTGGTCAGTCAGGTTTATGTCTGGCACTAAATACATAATATTCTTTTGTGTAATGCTGTCAAAAGGTTTGATTGAAAGAGTATGTGTGTGTCTATGTCTGTGTTTGTGTGTGTATCTGTGTCTGTGTGTGTCAGGTAGGTAGAAAAATTAATATGGAAAAAAAAAGGATAGAGTAGAGAGAGAGAAAGAAAACAATTCTGTGTGAGCCTTGTATGTTTGAATGTGTTTTTTGCACGGTTGAGAAGACGTATGTGTGAGCACATTTTTTTGCCTGTCTTTGTAGTAGCATTCTGCATGCATTTGTGTGTGTGCGTGCGTGCACGTGTGTGTGAACTTGTGAGACATGCAGACATTCGCCGTGGTCTCAACCACAATTTGATTGGTGTCATTTCTGTCTATCTTGTTTCTTCTCTGCACTATAAGACCGTTATTGTGTTGATGCACTTCTCTTTCCTCGAACCCAAACTCAAAAACTATTCCATACCTTCTGTTGTCTGTTGGGATGACTTTCTCCCACACTGCACTTTGCGCTGGTTGTCGACAAGAATGGTATGTGAAAGGCAACAGCTCAAAATTAGGCTTATGTTGCATAAGTTACCTGCACCTGTGGTGTAGTGGTTAGGCACTTGGCTTTCGCATGGGGGAATATTTTTATGGAGTATCTTGGTCATTCTGCAGGAACATTGTATCCCTCTCGGCCCGGGTTAGCCCTGATAGGCACAGTTGGAAGCCCACCTCATCAATGATCTTTGATCTGTTTTGTGTCAATTGGGGGCATAAAAAACACCTTGTTCTTCTTCTTCTTCTATCCCGTGGTTGGGGCAACCGTTGGGGCACCACTGCATGGGAAAACCAGCTCTCGCCATCTATTTTTGTCCTCTGCTCTCCTCAGATTGTCACCCATCGTCTTTCCTGTCCACTCTGTAATGTTGTCCTCCCATCTCCTTCTCTGCCTTCCTCTCTTTCTCTTTCCTTGTACGGTTCCTTGCAGGATTGTTTTGGCAAGTCCTGTGGATCTTGTGACATGCCCATACCATTTTAGTTTTCGTCTCTTCACTGTGGTCAGTAGATCTTCATATTGCCCCACTGCTTTGGTGATTCTCTTTTGTACTTCAGCATTTGAAACGTGGTCTTTGTACGAAATGTCAAGGAGTCTGCGGTAACATCTCATCTGTGTGGTCTGAATCTTTTTCTCTAATTCTGCTGTTAGTGTCCACGACTCGCAGGCGTATAAAAATATTGAGATGACCAGTGAGCGCATTAGCCTAATTTTTTAGCTGTGCGTGATGTTTCTGTCCCTCCAAATAGGCTTCAGTTTTGACAGCGCAACTGTTGTTTGCGTGATTCTGGAGAGAATTTCTGGTCTTCAGCCTTCATCTGAGACGATAGATCCGAGGTATTTGAAGCTGTTGACGGTCTCAAGTTTCTCGCCCCTGACTTTGATGTCCGCATTGATGACATTGGTGTTATTGGTCTTTAGCTTGGTTTTCTTGGCACTGATCTCCATGTCATAGGCTGCTGAGGTTGTGTCCAGCCGCTCGACTAGTGTTCTTCCTGTTCTTCTCCTGCTAATCCATCGATGTCATCGGCAAAACGCAAGTTAGTAATTGTCCTGCCTCCAATACTGATTGTTCCATTGTGGTCTTCCAGAGTGTCAGTCATGATTCGTTCTAGGAAGATGTTGAAGAGAGTGGGAGAGAGTAAACAGCCTTGCCTCACCCCGGCGTTGTCCTGAACCAATCCCCCATGCTGTCGTTAAGGTAGACTGTGCTGGAGGCCTTGTCGTATAGTTGTTGTATGACGTTGATCAGGTTGGCGTTGATGTTATATTTCCTCACGGTTGTCCAGAAGGCTGCATGCCAGACCCTGTCGAAGGCCTTTTTAAAATCCACAAAGATATGGTATAGGTTTTGTTGGTGTTGGAGGTACCTCTCGCACAGTATCCTGAGGTTGAAGATCTGTTCTGTTGTGCTGCGCCTGCCTGCTCTTCGGCAATGATCTTCTCTGCCTGTGGTTTCAACCTGTTCAGCATTATCTTCAACATAACCTTACTGGGGTGGCTTATTAGACTGATGGTGCGGTAATTCTGACGTAGTTGCTGGTTACCTTTCTTGGGGAGCGTAATCACTAGTGATTGTGTCCATGCTGTTGGCCATTTTCCTGTCTGCCCGATCTTGTTGCAGATGACAGTCAGAGCGCTTATCATGTCCTTTCCCCCTGCCTGTTTAAAAAAAACCAAACCATTTTGACATAAATCAATAGAAATGGATAGTTTGAATGAGTATGAAAGTACTACAGCTCTAGCTCACAAAACTGTTTGCTTTCCCACTCTCTGAATCATGTACTGAGGCTTGTCTAAAGAAATAGGGAATGCTATGAACATTAGAGAGAAACATAGCGCAGATCTCTAAGGATTAAAGATTACCATGGACATCAGAGACTTTTGCCAGACTCAAAGGTGTATATGTGCGTGTGTATGTGTGTGCGTGCACATATGTGTGTGTGTGTTTGAATGTATCTGTGCGTATTTGTGTGTGTGTATGTGTTCATGTGCATATGTATGTGCATTTGTTTGTGTGCCTGCTATGTTCCCCCCCCCCCTCCTTTGCACAAACTGTCATAATCCTACTTAATGTGCAGCTTCCGTTGCTTAGCCCCCATGTATAGGTCTCTCTTTCTCTCTCTCTCTCTTTCTCTATCTCTATCTGTCTCTCTCTCTCTCTCTCTCGCTCACTTTTAGTCACACTTTTTCTTTCTTCCTCTTTGTCTCTCTTTCTCTTCACTCCACAGGGTTTTTAAAATCTATTTGCTTCTCTCCTTGTATTAGTTTCTCATTGCGGAATTGTACTCTGTGCAATAGTGATTGTTCTGCTGAGGAAATATGGTTTTATATATTTAAATGAATAAAGATGTACTCGAAAAAATACACACCCCTATTTACTTCAATCTCTTATTGTTGTTACATTTACATCACCCCCTATAAGTCATGACATGCCTTGCCTTTTCTCTGAATTCTGCACAGTCAATGGAATAGGTTGTGATCTGTCGGGGATTCAGCTTGTATAGATTGAAAGTTTTACTACATTATGGAAAACTTGGAGTTAACTTTGCCATGATGAGCTGGTTCAGAAATTTAGAAATAAAAACTTGTCATGTCATTAAATTCATACACTTTTAAAGACTTTTGGACAAGGTTTGGCAGGTTGGTATTGTATTTTTGTTTGTTTGTTCTTGTTCCAAATCTATGATGTATCTTATGGACTGGGCCGCGGCCAATGTGTGACAGTTGATAAAATGTTGTCATATTTTTTGGTGAACTGGGAGCATTCTGTTTTCTTTCCTCCCACCCCCCTTGTTTGATTGACATTTTCATTAGTTTCATGAAGCATTATTGCTACAGAGAAGATTTAAAAAGGCAACTACCTCAGGCATTGCATCGGTGATGTTTGGTGTGTCTAAAGGTTTACCCTGATGTGCCCATGCAAACTAACAGTATTTTGAGTGAGCAGGTTTTGATTATTTTGTACTTTTTGAGGGGTTGGGAGTATCGGGTATTTATTTTTTCTTTTGGCTTTGCTTGCTGTCATGGTATGAATTAGTTCTGTGCTTTGGATTATTTGGCCTCAATATTTCCAAGTATTCTTTGTCATTGTTTCTGTGTTCATAGCCTGTTTGAGGCCGTTTTATTATTATTTTTTTTTTCATTTTTATGTGCAGTTTGATATTGATGTTGGTCGATTTTATTTGAATTCGATAACACACTTATAATATACTCCGACAGTGCATGTTACTGGGTTTAACAGCACAAGTTACTGCTTGTGACTCTCCACACAGCATCAGTTGTGGGTGGTTGGCAGGTGCTCTGGTATGGTTTTCTCCTTCTTTCCTATCAAATGTCTATTGTCCTGATCTCTCCTCCTCCTTTTTTATGTTTGTTACTCTCTTGTAAAACCTCTAATCTTCGACACTTATATGACGTTATTGTGTTGCAAGTGCCGTAAAACTCTTACTAAAACAAACAGCATCAGTTGTCATCAGCAGAGAATAGTGGCTGACTGAGTACAGTGTGTGTCACACAACTGTCCCCCCCCCCCCCCCCCTCACAGGCCTACGTGTATGTTTGCATGTGTAGGTCTATGTGTGTGTCTGCGTGTGTGAGTGCTGCCATGCAGACCCATTATGCTCACGTAGGTTATATATATATGTATATGCCTCTACTGGTTCTGCATATTATGTGTATGCCTATGTTGACCTGTGTGCGTGTTGGCATAATATGTGTGTGTGTGCGTGTGTGTCTGTGTTTGTGTATGTATATTTGTGTACCTATATGGGCCTTTGTTGTACAGTGGAGCTCGGATTCAACGAGGTCGCCGGACCTGACCTAAAATCTCGTTGAATCCGAGTGCTCGTTATAACAACATGAGGTTTTGTGTAAATAATTACAGGCACTGAGCAAGTAATGTATACAGAGAAGTCGCAAGTAGTGTCTGAAATGCCTGCATATTATGAGCTGTGTAAAAAACAGCCACACGTGTGCAGGCGGCCCATCTGACCCGACACACGCTAGAGTAGACACATGTGTGTGCCAACAACACATGTGTTTGTATGAAAAAAGGCGGCTGATTGGTCGCTTGCAATCGGCAAAATGAATAATGGTTCACGATGCAGGTGCAATGGATGGTTTCTGGGAATAGATAAAGTTCGTTTTGGGAGAAAAATGAGCGAAGCCACGTGTGCGGGGGCTGTTCACCCTGGAGGAAGCGACCTCGTTGAATCCGAGCTCGCTGATTTAAGTGCTCGTTGAATCCGGGTTATTTTTATTGATTTTAAAGAAGAAAAAAAACGGGGAATCTATCTCATCTCGTTGAATCCGAGCTCCACTGTAGTATGTGTGTGTGACTGTTTGATCCTAGTTTGTGTTTAAATGCCCTTGTAAGCCTATGTTTGTGTATGTATCTATACATGAAATGTAGAAATATACACATGTTGATGTATATGTACACAATTGCTAGTGTACCTGTATACATACATGTATACCATTTCAGACCTATATTCGTGTACGTTTGCCTGTGTAAGTAAATGCATGTGTATGTATGCCTATGTGTGCCTATATATTTGTATATATATATATATAATTATATATGTACCTTTGTGT